CTAAACGAATCGGAAACAAAAAACACCCATCAAAAAAAGGAGAAAATGCTGCATCGAATAGTGCCCGAGCTGCTCTTCCTTTGATGTTCTACGAGGATTTAGCTGTACAAATATGGAAATCGGTAGCATCAGTTAAAATTCTATTAAAAATATATGACAAGCTATCGAAAAGAGGAAAAAGTTGGGCTGTATTCTATGAGGTTTGCTCTATCGAACCGTCACTTAAACTTTTTCTGATAATTAATATGAAAGTTTTGAAAAATTGTGAAACTTGACCATCTCAAAAAGCATGGGTCGCAGATTTTAGTTATTTTCTGAAACCCCATTGACTGTTTTGCAACAATTTCATAACCTTTAGAAAGAGAATGAAATTCTGCATCGACTGCTGTCAAGATCTCTTAGAAATGTTTGTTCCATCGAATGTGGCGCCCGTTTGAAAAAAGCGAAATTACTTTCGGAATGACCTAGTAATTTATTTTATTTTATTTTATTTTATTACCTAGGGAAACCCTACGGAAAGCAGATAAAGATCAACAAAAATAACAACAAAAGACCAAAACAACCCCATAACGAAACAATTAACAAAATTCATTTTTTTGCAAATGGCTCCTTAACAATCTTTTGAACGAAGTCAGCTTAGGAACAAACACTCGTTCACGTATAAGTGTATCTATTAGGTCGTTTCATGAGTTCGTCGACTTTTTATTTTTGTCGCCGTTTTTCGATGAAGCGGTTGGTTTACGGCAAAGTACCTATACCATTGAAAAGAGAAAATCTTGCTCTACAAGAACTATTGTTCGTTTTTGGAGCAAACTTGAATCCCCTTCTTTTACGACTTATCAAAGCAAAATTTTTGAGAGGCAAAAATCGGCGATTGCGGCAACAGCAACTTTCGATCCGTATACGGAGCCACAAGTGGGAATTTTTCGTCTGAAGTTGTTATGAGTGATGAGAAACAACTGTTTATGGTACTACGGTGCATATAAAAGTAGTCTCCGTATCCAAAGAGAGGCTATAAAGAAAGATTAAGAGCACGTTTACCATGTGTGTAGATGGTTTGCGTTTGGCACAATTTAAAGAAGTTCCCACGTCAAAAATTTTTTGAGAAAGCGTAAAATGTTGTTGAGGGCTTGTACTCATACATCTGCACCACTTAGAAGAATGCATCCATTCCTCAAGTTCCGATAGGAGAACCGACACATTGTGTCGCTGAACAACGCGCCGTACTCAAGCGGCAGCAGTCAAAGACATCAACCATTGGGACCTTGTTCAAACGGTTCTATGCATATCGGCATGCTGCAAATTTGTGTTTTAGTCTTGCTTGCTACTATCCATGCCGCCTACCTATGACAGAAACATCTTGCGGAATACGGACCAAATGCGGAAAGTGCAGTTGCCGCAATCGCCAATTTTTGCCTCTCAAAAAACTTTGCTTTGATAAGTCGTAAAAGAAGGGGATTCGTTTGCTCCAAAAACGAACAATAGTTCTTGTAGAGCAAGATTTTCTCTTTTCAATGGTATAGGTACTTTGCCGTAAACCAACCGCTTCATCGGAAAACGGCGACAAAAATAAAAAGTCTACGAACTTATGAAACGACCTAATACATCAAGCAAAACTCTATATTAACAAATTTCTTCGTACACTGAGCTTAGATCTTGGAATAATCAATTTTCTTGTACCGCCCTAGTTTTTGATATCTTAGTCGTGAAATACGAATCACGATACAATTCACAGTCTCCATAGATCTTATGGGCCATGATAAGATTTATGATGATTGAAGCTATTTTAAACTTTCTCCAAATAATTAATCGATATTTGGCGCTTGTAGGGGTATATCACAGTACCATATTCAAGCATAAGCCTTATGTAATTTATAAGCCTTCAAAAGGACTACCGGATCTCTTGTTGAAAGCGCCCTAAACAGAGTGTACACCGCCATCGTACCCTTGTTAGCTATCTTTTTACAGTGGTCATCAAAACAAAGACTGTTCCTGACCAGAAACCCTAAACCTCTGACCTCCTCAACAGACTCAAGTGAAGTCTCCCTTAGTGTAAAGATACTTAAGATTACTTGCCCCAATGTGCATTACTTCTGTTTACTCTTTCGAAATAGGAAGACCCCACATCCGCGACCAGCGATAAATCTCATTAAGAGCAGCCGATCACGACCGGCAACATCCATAACAATCCCAAATAACTTGAAATCATCAGCAAAAGCAGAATAAGATACACCCTTCAACAATGGTATACGAAGGTGTTTGTGGGCATAAATGTTAAAGAGAATGGGAGATAATACCCTCCTTGAGGTACAGCTATTTCTAGGCTATTTTTCTTTCCATTAGCTTCATTTTGAGACTCGCAGCCCTCTTTTAGCACATTCTGGCTCTGAGCCAGCCTCATGTATTCAGGTACTGCAAAGCTTTTTGGCATGTATCAGTTCTATTCTAAAAAAGTGCAATGTGTGGGCGGGGCTTGGCTCAGCGCTGTATCCTAAAGAGCATCAGCAAGCTCGCTGTGCCTAATTATACACCGCACACACACACCCATAAGGTGCGAGAATATCTCGGGTAGGTAAGTTTCGTTCCCCTAAATGGGTTGCATTGAAGTTTAAAACTCCTATTCTGATCTCAAAACTAATATTAGACAATGTTCAAGAGGGTTGCAAACTTTACTATTTTAGCAATTATTTCAATGATTACTTCGTATGCACAACTGTTGTAATAATGAAGAAATTTTGCATCTAATACTTTTCAAAGTATTTGTTTGCGATTAGGTTCAAAGGTATGGACAAATTCCGGGTACGATTTTTCGCGAAGCGACGCCGCAATGCGAATTCAAGCAGTACAGGCCTCAGCTCCCGTCAGTACTCCTCCCGCAGTGTTATTATGGCATCGAGTCATGTATCTGCAGCCGCCCCCCACTCCCCTACTGTGGCGCCGTGCCACTTAAGAAAGTTTTTGTGAGGCACAAAACTTAGGCGCGATGAGAGGCCACCTCAGGAGCCACGATTTTTCGCGAAGCGACGCCGCAATGCGAATTCAAGCAGTACAGGCCTCAGCTCCCGTCAGTACTCCTCCCGCAGTGTTATTATGGCATCGAGTCATGTATCTGCAGCCGCCCCCCACTCCCCTACTGTGGCGCCGTGCCACTTAAGAAAGTTTTTGTGAGGCACAAAACTTAGGCGCGATGAGAGGCCACCGCGCGGTGTGACTCCTAACCAGGAGCCCAAAACTCCTGCATCGATCTAAGGCTCCCGCCAGAGTGCCGAAGTTATGCCAGCGCTACGCCACATTCCGATCGATACAAGTGTATTTCGTTGGGGCGCGGCTAGCTCAGCAGGTAGATGTCCCCAACGAAATACACGTATATCGATCGAAATGCTGGCGTAGCGCTGGCATAACTTCGGCATTCTGGCGGGAGCCTAACACTAGTTGCGACCAGGGTTGAGCAAAAGGTCAGGCACAAGTCTTTCCAAAACGACCCCCCCCCCAGTGAAAGCCCCTAAACGACCCCTCTGCTTCACCTCCAAGACCTCAGGCTGTGATAATTCGAAGAGATCAGCCGTTTTTGGGAGGTTCTTGTTTTTTGGAGATCTGTAGGTCGACTTTCTGCGATTGCACAGCACACGCAACTTGACGGCAAGTTTTGGATTTTGGATAGCCCTACTTTTAGAGCTATAATTCCCACAGGGGTGTATTGTTTGGCTCCAAATTTGCAGTATTGCAAGAAGAGGCTCTGAGTTCAATACTCATAGCAGAAAAGGAGCGATTTTTAGATTTTGAAAACAAGTTAATCGGGTCAGGCGCAACCCCTCAAAAGCTCAGGCGGCCTGACCTTTTATGGGGTTGCGCCTGACCCGATTAACTTTATCATTGAAGAAGCTTTTTTATTCAAGTTTTATGTGAATCGCTAGCACAACTTTCGAAGATTCCACAGTAAGTGTTTGGACTTGATTCGACTTGTTTCGGCCTTGTGGTAATCCGTGGAGTTGAAGCAGTCATGGAGAAAAACGCGCCGGTCGGAATTTTGGCATTATTTCTTACTCCACTATTTGCAAGCGATACAAAGCGCAATTTTTAGCCTAGACTAGTAGGGAACAATACTTTGTTACGAGTACAAAAAAATTGACTTTTCTCACTTTTGAAAACAAGTTAATCATGTTTGAAAATCACGCTTCTTAGTCGTTGAGAAACACTAGATAATGCAGTAAATAATGGTTTTTAGGGCTCATAGAGGTAATTTGACGTGCTCGGAAATGATACCCATTTCACACAGCAAGCTTCCTTGATGAATTTATAATATGTCAAGGTAGAAAATGAAGATTTGAGTTTTGGCCGAAACTTCGATTGTGGAATCAATCAGTATGCTGTTTAAGACCGTTCTTTCCTTCAGTACTGGTGAGGTCGCGATATCCATTAAACTAGCGCTTTTCTTCTTCACCTTAATCGTAGTATCTCCTCAATCGAACGAATTCGATTCCAAATCACGAACCCCCCCCCCCTCTGTCTTATTCCAGTACGACCCCCCAGGTCGGGCGCGCCTGACCCCACGCTCAACCCTGGTTGCGACCCTAATGAACCGTTAGCAAAGGGTGGTGGAAAGTGCCTTTGCGGACTTTCGAGCTAATTTATCTCATCCATGTTCAGAATTGTCCATGCAAAGTGTGACATTTGGACTTCTTATGTGAATACTGATCAGGAGGCCTCGACTAAAACACTTTTAAGGGGCAGCATGGGATTCACTCTTGACTGCAGTACTGAACGCTATGTTCTTGACAAGTCCAGCACGACAAATCGAAGCATGCCAACTGGACCTTGCTCAGAAAGGATGCGGTCTGAGCAAGTCTCAGTTGATTTTCTCGCCTAAAAAGATCATACTGCCCCTTAGACAATGGCTTACCAGAGATTTACAATCAGCATAGATATGAAGTCTGACTAACCAGAGTAATCTGTATATTGCCCTTAACAACTGTCAACTAATTGTGTGGTCATTTGCTCAGTAATCTACCTCTTGCTCTGGTACTATCGTCAGCTGCTATCACCCTTATCTATACATTTTTCGTGGTTGCGCTATATGTCGTTTTATCTCCTGATGAAGTGCTTATTAGTCCAGCCGTCGGTGTGGTAAGTTAAATTCGTACGCAGAAGTAAGAGGAAAAAGCTGTAGTCATTTAGTTATTCGCTGAGAAAGCCTACCCTGCCGTTTCCTTTTTGATGCCCCTATGCGTTGCCATGGCCTGCATTGGAACAGAAAATGGCAATATGATCATGAGCTCTAGGTAAGTCACAACGATGAATTTTTGTCGAGCAGTTGAACTCAGATTACTCTTCTGCGCTGGTCGCGAGCATCAAATGCCAAGGATTTTAGCAATGATAAATAAAAGGCTGCGAACTCCTATGCCTGCTGTGCTATTCGCAGTGCGTTGACACTTTGCAGAACCATACAAGAAACTTCTTGTAGCCAATTTTATTTTTTTAGAGCTTTTTAACTTTCTGCTATCTTCTTATCTCCAACAATCTCTATGCTCTCATCACTGTAAGTCAAGTGGTATCCTGGCTGGCATTCGCCGTCGTGGCACTAGCATGGTTCAAACTTCGACGCAAGTATCCGGATGCTAGCCGATCAGTCAAGGTGCTTATCTCCAAAATATTAGGATGTCCGGAAATAAATGCAGGTTTTGAATTTCAACCGCAATAAGTCATACACTTCTCATTTCTAAGTAGGTTGCAATACACATCCGATAGAGCAAAGCAAGCTCTACAAGATGGCAGTCTTGATTTAGCAACAGCTCTAATCCACTACGAGTTTCGAGCCAAAAACTAAAAAGATTCAAAAACCCAAAAAATTGAGAAAAATTAACTCAGCTCATAAAAATCCTACAAAAAATTTAACCTGCTCACGTAAACACTATCCACATAAGACGTATATGCACGCCGTTGCCGTATTTTTTTCTCGGTTAGAAACCAAGAAAACGAAGGCTTTCATGTTTCTACCAAAGTGATCCTGTGCCGTTCCCACATAATAGTTGTATACTACGAACCTGTAGAAGTACAAACGTAAATTTCCAGCTCTCTACAAGCCTTAGTTCTCGAGAAATTTGAACTTTAGCTTGAACCACATGACTATGAAAACTGTATTCGATATTTCTCGAGAACTAAAGCTTGTAGAGAGCTGGAAATTTACGTTTGTACTTCTTTAGGTTTATGGTATACAACTACCTATGTGGGAACGGCACAGCATCACTTTGGCAAATGCACGAAATCCGTTTTCTTGATTCCTAACATAGAAAAAAATACGGCAACGGAGTACATAGATGCCCTATGCGGACTGCTTTTACGTGAGCAAGTTAAAATTTTTGTATGATTTTTATGAACTGAGTTATGATTATTCTCGATTTTTCGGGCAGTTGAATCTTCTTAGCTTTTGGCTCGAAACTCGTGGTGGATTAGAGCTGTTGCTAAACCAAGATTGCCATCTTGTAGAGCTTGCTTTGCTCTATCGAATGATTTATTGCAACCTACTTATGTTAGAAATGAGAATGTATGACTTATTGCGGTTGGAATTCAAAACCTGCATTAATTTCCGGACAACCTAATATTTTGTTTTACGATACGATTCCGAAAGGGGACATTCTAAGTAGGTTGGACAACTTACAAGATTCGACACCTGTTCGCACCAGGAAAACTTCAAAATACAAACCTCTTTAACTTCGAAGAACAACTTCATGATCAAAGGAAAGTATCAAAATGAAGATTTTTGAGTGTACCACCTTGGCACAGCTACAAATTACAATATCATATGCTGATAAAAAGAAACACTGCCTGTTACATGCCCAGCCAATTAGTGCCCTAAGTACTTTGCATAACAAAAGCAATGTTTTGATCAGTGCCACTGCTCTTTCAGCGCATAAATGTGCACGGCGTCAAAAATCTGGAAGACTAATCCTTTCTCGAATGAGGTCAGAAGGAAGCAAAAAACTTTGATAATATAGATAATTACATAATTAAATAATTCAGATATATAAAAATATATCTCAGCATTCAAATTCTGAAATGTCTCTCTTGGGTTCAACCCAGCCTATCGAAATCTTGGCGAGTGTACTTGCCCTGGAACGCTGGTACGCATAGAGTGCGACCCACGCCATCGCGGCTCTTGCTTCTTTCTTTTGGCAAATGCTGTGCAGCATCATACAGCAATTTTGCGACAACATATTGCAAAGAGCATTTTCTGCAAAGTTCAGGAAGTAGAATATTGAATTAGCCAAGGCATGTTCACTTGCCCACTGGAAATGTGGCAATTACGCGCAGTATAACGGAAAAATCATTGTCAAAAAATTTTGAAACACTTCCATCAATCAAGTTCAAATGGATGCTTATATAGAAGACATATGAAAAGAATATAGCCTTGAACCCAGTGACTGCTGCGTTTCTTAGCTCAAAGACATGTCGCATGCAGGTGACATTTGCAAATTTTCATTTCCCACTTTCGAAAGGAATATCTTCTAGCAAAAACAACTACTGCAATGCGTTAGAGCAAAGCCTTCCTCACGATAAGGAATTAAACTTTTGTAAAATATTCTCAGTGCAGTGCTGGACATAATTATACAGCCACTCTAGAAATCGTCGTAATTTTTGTTCTTGTCAATGAATCTGTCTGAAACTTTGCTGTATTGTGCGCATGTCAACCTACCATAACCCCTCAAAACGGCTTCCAGTCTTGTTGAATCTGAACGGAGAAAAACGAAAAATTCGAAAAAGCCCTCTTTGAAAGCTGGACAAAATTATACAGCCATCTGGTTTTTCTAATCACTATCGCATTCGTTGACTCTCAAATTTTTTTGTACAATTACATCCCAAAATATGAAACATTTGCGACAATTACGGTTTGTCTTCCTACTCAAATAGAAGCAATCGCTGCATTTCTTGCTTTTAAAAGCATTAAAAGTCAATCTCCTTTAACAAACAACTGCTTTAAAGAGTTTTCAAGCTCTTTTCCATTCCAAATGATAATCATGGAATCTACTGACCCTTCTGGATAGATGAGGTGAAGAGCGCTTTCGTAAACTCTGCGTAATCGCTGATTTTGACGGACAAACTCCAACCTCACCATAGGGTTGAAACGCTTTTAAACCACAAAACTCAGTTTGCAATGTCCACAAAGTGCTGAACTTGATTTATCACATTGTCTACATGGGGATACAGCTTTCGCAACAACTTTCAGATTTTTCCTAATGATGCGGTAGCGATTTAGACCTGGAATACTTTCCACAAAAATTCCCTGCGAGCGGAAGATTCGATATAACCCTAGATCTCCTTATTTCCGTCTGTACTTCATGTCATATTTCACCCGATGAATGAGATTAGCTAAGATTTTGAAGTTTTAAGCGTCTCCGGTTTTATCTCGTGATCTGAGTTGACTTTGATTGTACAGGGTGCTCCACTCAACATTCAGTGAATGTCAACTGCGGCTGAATCAGAGTGCTCAGTCCCGAAATTTCTTCCCAGTCATGCACACGAGTTCACTGTTGTATGGCTGTCGTAATGGCTACATTACAGTATTTTCTGTCGCTTGAAAATCGAGTTTTGTGGTTCAAAAGCGTTCCAAGCCTATGTTGAGGTTGGAGTCTGTCCGTCAAAATCAGCGATTACTCAGAGTTTACGAAAGCGCTCTTCACCTCATCTATCCAAAAGGGTCATTAGATTCCATGATTATCATTTGGAATGAACAAGAGCTTGAAAACTCTTTAAAGCAGTTGTTTGTTAAAGGAGATTGACTTTTAATGCTTTTAAAAGCAAGAAATGCAGCGATTGCTTCTATTTGAGTAGGAAGACAAACCGTAATTGTCGCAAATGTTTCATATTTTGGGGTATTATTGTCCAAAAAATTTGAGAGTCAACGAATGCGAGTGAATTAGAAAACCAGGTGGCTGTATAATTTTGCCCAGCTTTCAAAGAGGGCTTTTTCGACTTTTTTCGTTTTTCTCCGTTCAAACTCAACAAGACTGGAAGCCGTTTTGAGGGGTTACGGTAGGTTGACATGCGCATAAAGCAAAGTCTCAGACAGATTCATTGGTAAGAACGAAAATTACGACGATTTTCAGAGTGGCTGTATAATTATGTCCAGCACTGTAGTTTCCAGCTACGATTTTTTTTGTCCTGCGAAAGTAACCGTTCGATAAATCCTGTTCGAAAACTTATAGCAGCCATTTTGAGCTAGGGACAGTATATATATTTTGTAAAGGATGATTGCAGCATCATTTAGCACAGAATTGAAATCAAAACCATTAGTAGCTTTGTAATTACAACGTGCAAAGTAGGCTTCTAGACTTGACGCACTGTGTAAGCATGGGAGCGAATGTTTGAACCAAAAATTTTGGGTAATGATTAGATCTTTTTGGGGTGTTGAAAGAGATTTACAGTGAAAACGCCTGCCTTTTCTGATTCCATGTGGATATGTGCTACACGGTTTGCGCCTCTATACAAAATGGCAGCAGCTTTTCGGAGCTAATATCGAACTTTCAGGTTCCTCCAATTTTTGCAGCAGTGTTTGTAGTTGGATCAACTATCATTGTCGTTTTACCCGTCATTGCTTCTCCAGTGGATTCAGGTGAATGACGTCTTTACCTATGAATACTTTGTGGCACAAAATAAAAAAACCGGAAACCTTTTTTCGACAACCCCGTATCCGTGATCTACGGGTGATTCCTCCATTTGTTGTTGGAAACCATGGGTGGAGGACTATATGTCGCCGAATGCGGAAGTGTCCCGCGCGGATTTCCTGCAGGAACGCATGTCCGCGCATATACAGTAAGTTTCGACCCGCTTTAGGCGGAAATTGGATTGGCGGGAGTCCGCCTCGCAACAGCCCGCGCCGTTTCGCAGCTACAGTAGATCCTATCGTGCTGAGAACCCATGTCTGCGTCTCCTCAATCTCCTTAGTCTTTGCTTGGCAAAATGCCAGCGCTATGCGCTCGCGAAGCCTCCAGCGATGCGCATGCGCTGCTCCACGTAGAATATCTCGCCTAATCCGGGATGAAACCGACTGTACAAGGGTGTGCATTTGTCGCAAATGACCGCGGGGACCGCCCTTTTTTGGCGACATATAGTCCTCTACCCTGAAACCATAAATGTTTGTACTTTTTTAGCGATAGGTATACTAATCTTACTTACTGGTGTTCCTATCTACGTACTTTTCATCCAACAAAACAAAACCCCACTTGTCATTAGAAGAGCGCTATGTGAGTGAAAAGTACTTACGTATAATTTTCTCTTCTTTACTTTCCGAAACGACTTTTCAGTCTCTTTTACCGTGTTTTGTCAAAAGATATTGATGGTGGTCGACGATAACGAAAGTAAATGAAAACATGAGGAAAGACTCAGCAGATTTTTTTTTCAAGAGAAACTACTTTTCAACATTTATTTCATTAAAGTTATGACATAGAATCTCGATAAGAACCGTATTTGACATCTACATCTCGTATCAAAGTGAGATCAAAGCTGCATGGTACCAACAAAAAGAGCATCATTACAAAAGTTTTTGCAAAAACTAAGACAGTCACTCAGACAGTATAACAAAGCGCTAAGGTTCAATGCTACTTTTCCAATTTTTTGTGTTAGAATTAACAAAAATGACCATTCTGTTCAACTGACAATATGGAGAAGGTAACGCAATAGATCCTAAACTAGCAAAACTGACGACAATGATGCAATGATTCCCGCTAGTTCGAGGATTAGTCGGTTTGTGATCATCCTCAAGGCAGTAAACCTCAAATCAGTTTTGTCACTCGAAATCATGTATACCGACAATCTTTGCTAAGAAGTATATTTTCAAACACCAAAAGTATCGATGAAGTTGTAAGTGCCTGAGTGTGATACATCTACTTAAATAATGCAGTAGGTGGGTGATGTCTTAGCCGTAATTTATTTGAAGGAAATTCTTCTTACATATTATCGATAACTTCAATGGCTCGAATGCGAATATTGGTATACTTACTTACTACTGTATTCAAAATAACGGAGCATTATGGGTTACGCTGTAAAGTGATCGTTAAAGGCAGTTTGCGGGCAAGGTGGGGGTTTCAGTTCTATGGGAAAATGGCTTCCTCAGACACAACCTCACGCAAGTGCGAGGTGACGATGTTCGACCTAAAGCAAGAAAAACGAGCGGAAAGTGGGGAAACTTACGCGTTCGGGCGGGGTCCTTCGAGCTGCCCGAATTCGGCGGAGTACGCATGCCGTAACAGTCAAATCGGGTACTATTCCACACTAGTTGACCCAAATAAATAAAAATCGTGGATTTCGCGAAATCTTCGTCTAAGGTGGTTATCTTGCACGCTGATTACAATATCACATTTATTTCGCGCGGCAGTGCCATCCGGTGGAGTTACGGTAGGAGTACAGTAAAGGGTCAAAATCACAAATTTGTTCCAAACTTCGTCTGGGAGGGATATCTGGCACCCTAAACATGAAAATCATATTCATTTCGTACGGTAGCGCCAATTTCTCGAGTTACGGTGGATCTACGCTAGATGGCTGAAAATCCCGAATTCGCTCAAAACTTTGCCTGGAGGGGTTTCCAAGCACGCTATTTCTGAATATCGCATTCTTTTCGCACGATAGAGATTTGGATTTTTGGAATCTATTAGGTTGTAAAGAAAGTTCCCGGGCACTTTTGGATTTCATTTTCAAACGAACTTTTTCGGCGCTCGATCAGACTTTGACACCAAGTTTTTTGTACTGTTCAGTAGAGGGAAGCATGAAGTTTTCAACAAGCCTTCTGACTTTTATTGATGCTGAGACGTGTTTGATCTGCACATCAAAAAGGGAAATCTTTTCAACCACAAAAATTTCACAGTTTTTCTTTTTACGGCCATTTTTTTGTGCACTTCAAAGAATCTCGTCCAAATCAAGGGTGATCTGATTGGGAAGCCTGTTAACTTCTTACCCGCCAGTGCACTCGAATTTTGCGATTTGCGCTCGGAAATTACAAGCTGTCAAATTCGCCTCTGACTGCAGCTCTTTTCGCAGCTGGCGTCGCTTCTGCAGGGACTACCGCGCCTGGATGATGGGTCCAAAAGATGTGTAAGACATTACCCCAACAATGTTCCCAGCAATCAAAGATATGGTCCTTTCTGTGCAGAATTAGAAGATTTCAAAGTCACTTACTCGAAAAATGGTGCATTTTTAGGGGCAAAAAACGGCCGATTCTTCAAACTTTCTGGGGAAAATTTTTTTGCAGCTGGTCCTTCAAAAACATGAATGGTCCCCATAGCTGCCCCAGCAGCCCTCTATATAGCTACAGCAGCTGGGCTTTCCAGCTCTCATCCTGCCTGAGACAATCCTACACAATTTTCCCTTTTGCGCATGCTGGTTGACAGCAGTGAGGTGCTGAGAAGCCAGCAAGACAAATATATGTTGTAGACAGAACTGTCTTTGCAATGAAGTTTGTAGCTTCAGAAAAGATTCAATCTGCTTGAAGTTACAGCAATTTATAAAAAATTTTCGCAAGTGCCCGGTAACTTTCTTTACAGCCTAATAAATTTGGCTGTAAAGCGGAAAAGTTGCTTTTTCACGCACTACAGCTCATCGTAACTCTAACAATTAGACATTGTTGCACCGAACAAGCATGATATCTGCAATCAGCATGCTTAAGAACCTCTTCAGGCAAGGTTTCAACTGAATTCGAGATTCTTAATCATTTACCGTATACCCACCGTAACCCAAGAAATTGATGCTACTGTTTAAGATCAATATGATACTCATGTTCTGTTTGCCAAATAACCCCCCCCCCCCCCCTCCTTAGACGATGTTTGGAGAAAATCCGTGCTTTTGGCCTACGTACTCCTACCGTAACTCCACCGGATGGCACTACCATTGAAATAAATGTGATATTCGTAACTCGTGTAACCTCTCTAGACGAAGTTTCAGCGAAATCCGTGGTCTTCATTTTTTGAGTCAACTAATGTGGAATAGCGCCCAAAATCATAGGGTCCCGCAGCGACTCTGCGTCTCTCCCGGGGCGGGAACCGCCGAACTGCAAATTGTACGGCTTTGGACGCATGTTCACGCCGTTTTCCCGCCTTCTGATGTGGATTTTCGGATTCGCCATTGCGGTTAACCCCCGGTAGGTGGTTTTTCTAAAAATCGAGTTTTTGCCCAGACACAGCCTTTAAGTGGTACGCATTGGAGGTATCCAAGTATGTGGATTGTTCGACTCTCTATGAATCTCGGTATGGCGTAGATATTGTAGTTGTTTATATAAGCCGCACTCGAGATTGGTAACGGTATTTATTGGGTGGCTGACGTTTCGGCAAATCGCCTTCTTCAGAGCCTGGAATGGACAAAACGATCTGCAAACTATCCGATCAAACGTCTCTGCCAGCTCCACAAGCAAAGTTCTAAGACTCTGCCTTTTCACTGACTAAGAGAACTCTTTTGCGATGGTGGAGACACCCCCAAATAACCTAAAAGGTATTTTGGTTCGCAATCGCATCTACGATCGCACCTGCACAACGCCTAATTGCATTATCTGCCCTGCGGGCAGGGGCGGGGATTGCATGGCGTCAGGGGTCATCTACCTTATCACCTGCGCGGGCTGCGGCGACATGTACATCGGTGAAACGGCGCGCCCTCTATGCGTCCGCATCAAAGAGCATCTAGACGGCAAGGATAGATCACGCACGACCACACCTCTAGGCACTCACATGCTGGTGAAGCACGCTGGAGAAAACTTTGAAGTTTCAGTGAAGATCTTAGCGCATGAATCCCAAACATCAGCCCGCAAATGTTTGGAAGCCTTTTGGATTCACGCAAAAAGTCCACAAATGAATCGCAAGGAGGAGTGCCTCTCTATCACTCGTGAACTCGCACCTTACCTGGGTCACCTCTTTGACTCACTGTAGGCATATAATAGCGTGGCATACATGGTCATTTATTAGCACTCGCTCAAGCACTTGTATGCTATCGGCATTTTCAAAAAGGTAAGCGTTTGGTTTGGTAGTCTAGTCAGTGAAAAGGCAGAGTCTTAGAACTTTGCTTGTGGAGCTGGCAGAGACGTTTGATCGGATAGTTTGCAGATCGTTTTGTCCATTCCAGGCTCTGAAGAAGGCGATTTGCCGAAACGTCAGCCACCCAATAAATACCGTTACCAATCTCGAGTGCGGCTTATATAAACAACTACAATATCCAAGTATGGCTAGCCACCAGTACCTAGGCTCCCATCTCAACTACCTACCCTGCCTACCTCCCCACTTCCACCGTGTTGAACAACACTAACTTCATAATTACGCAAGACCAAAGCTTCAGTAATGCGAGTGGCTACATACAAGCAAAAGACAATCGTAAATACATGCTTTTAGCAAGCCAGCGCAGAACTTAAAAAATGTTTGATGATTCAGACGAGTAGTCTGATAACCCAATCAATTCCACGGACATAAATTGAATAGATTCCGAGACAAAGCCTTTACTGTACGTACTTACGCCGAAATATCAAACAACGTTACTGGCGTCAAACGGGCACGTGGAAAGAAGAAACATGAGGGCCCGACAAGAAAGCTACACACCCTTTATAGTTCTAAGGCCCGGTTTTGTGTAAATGCATATAAATCTAAGTTTGTATCTTGTCATTTAGCTCCAGTAGTACTTAATATATTACTTCCTTTGTTTTGTTCGTATAGACCCAAGTACTTGCGATACCAGGGATTGCTATTAGATCAACAGAGTGAAAATTTATGAGTTTCTATTCGGAAACCATAGGATGGTATGACTTGAAAAGAGGAAGACGCTAAAAAATGAGTAGGTTCGGGCTTTACCTGCTTCCACATGTTTGGATGGTACATTTGATATCACGAAATGAGTGTAAACGAAGCATTCTAGGAAGTGTTTCTCACTTTGTACACTTCATTCTGCGGCAGTCGGGAGGCTGAAAGAAGAAGAATGCTCTTGTCTTGCTCTGTTGAACGCTATATGATCAGATGTTTTAGATGGTAAACACCAGCAATGAACACCCAAGCAAAGGCAGCAACGAAGTTGATGCGACGAATGACGAATTTGATGATGAGCCCAGAGAAAGTGCGGACGAAAGAGCAGATGAGAGAAGATCATTGAGATCACCAGAGCGCAGAGTGCGACGTCCTTTCCAAGATGACGAAAAGGTAGTGCTTCCAAGGAACCTGCTTCTCTCGCAGTGAAGTGTCAAATTTATACACAAAGACGATCTTTTTACTAATCGGGGCCCTCCTATCTTTTCGAGTCTCCTTATTCCACTCTTCTGCAAACACGTCAGATGAGGGGAAATACGGTTTCTCCGAATATCGTTCCGCAGATAACGAATACGGTTTTGAGATTGGCGTCTAAGGCGAACCTCAACCTATGCTACATATAGAAAAGCCAAGGTCATTAAGTGTCCTCTTCCCGTTAGATCCATCTTCACTGCCTGCGAAACAATAATAGGTAATGCGAAATTCCATTTTCCGCATATGTGCTTCAGTAGGCGACCCCCAGTCAATGCAGACACTTGAAAGCATTGAGGAATTCCCTCCATTTTAAAGCACCACAATTAACCCGTTTAGGATACTGGGAAGGGTCTTGAAAGAACCCTTACTCTGACTAATTGTGTCACTATGGTTGTTGGCAGCATCATTGGAGCTGGCATATTCGTCAGCCCTACAGGAATTCAGGAAGGTTAGCAAAGATTTGTTCCATTTGCAGTTAAGGATCCATATCTTTGCTGATCCTGCTAATCAAAATTCAGCTGCTGGCTCTGTTGGATCCTCACTTATCATGTGGGTTGTTTGCGGTATATGGGTTGGTATCGGCGCGTATATGTATGCTGAACTGGGTACGCTTATCACCAAATCCGGAGGCGATTACGCTTACATCTTGGAAGCGTTTGGACCGTTTTTGGCTTTCATCCGTTTATGGATTGAGAGCATAGTTGTAAGGTAAGCTTTTGAAGGAACAAACAAACAATAATAACAAACAACATTCAATGCTTGCTTTGGACATCAAAAGTGAAGTGAAATTGTTCTGAACTAAGCAAAATGCATCGACTATAAGCAAAAACATATAGTTCGGCAAATCCCTCCTTTCCCCAGTCTCCCTCTGTGTGCACCTACTCAGATGAATTCACTTTTCTCATAACTGAGGAAGAGCCTCAATGTGCGTCGTCTGTCCCGGAGGGAGTGGAGAAAGACGCGCTTCATTTCTGCTGTCTTTCTGTTACTGCACAGAACAAGCTAGTACACAGATGACTGTGTATATACTGTTCTTGCTGGATTGTGCGGTAAATCCGCGTGAACGAATAGATTGAACGCTGGCATTTTGGCGTGAAAAAGACTGCTCCTCCTCACTATGAACTTCTCAGTAAAACTTTTTTCCAACGTAACAATCTGTAGAAATGTGACTAAGAATCAATAAATATTCAATTAAATCAAAATAGGCAAGGAAAGAAGGAAAAATCAATAAAAGTGAGTAGGTTTCAATGGTAAAGTTCTTCAAGTATTGTGCACGATGTGCACAAAATTACAAATGACTCAACAATATGTGCTCTTAAAGGGAGGCGGCCTTTTCGCACAGCACTCTCCAGCAGCCATCTTGATTACTTGTTCTTACACGTCACGCACGCAGCTATCTTCCCCCCCCCCCCTCTCCCCTTTTCTGGACAAAACCAGATGCAGTGTTGCCGAGCACGGCGGTGGTCTCGTGTCTAAAATAGTGCGGATCGGGGTACACGAGAGCTCAAGCTCCAAGTTAGGATTCTTCGCAGAGGAGTTGTGTAGGTCGGGGGGGGGGGGGGGGGGAGGGGGAATTTTTTTTCAAATGAAGGTGCGTGGCATTTGCCACGCATTCCGAAAAAGTTTTCGTGGTGTTTCTTGCAATTTTTTCAGGTCCATGACCCTTTCTCTTGAAAAAAATTTTTTACAGGGCTTGTCCGATTTTTTTGAAACTTTTGAAAATCATTTAATATTTTCAAGTATAAACAAGTCATTTGCACATTTTTATAACTCACTTCAATATGTTTTGAAAATTTCGCTACCCATTCTCGGGGGAGGCGCGCGCCCCCCTTACCTCGGAGCGCCACTGTAGGTGTAGTTATACCAGGGGGTAGAGTGTGTCTGTAAGTTTCAAAAACAGCTTAAGTGGTTCGTTAGACCAATCTCGTGCATGATTTCCACTTAAGAAGGGCATGCATTTCCATGATTGCTATAGATTTTTAAAGATGAGTAGTCTCAGGTTCATTGTCGTCCCGGTTATGCCTGAGTTTTAGCTTATGCTGGATGGGTACCAGCTTCGCTCCCTCTTTCTCAATATATCTAGGTAGCAGTGGTTGTTCCAGGATTTCCGTTCGGGGAAGGATGCCGCCTCTTAATTTTTTGAATGAAGCTGCGTAGCGTTAGCCACGCACTCCGAAAGATTTTTTGGGGTGCCTCCCGAGATTCTTGCGGTCCATGACCCTGAAATTTTAGGAAAAAAAGTTTCACGAGGCTAATATTCTTACAAAATTTTACAAATTATTTAAATTATTTGAGAGTATAATCAAGTCACTTGCGCATTTTCACCACTCTTGTAAGCAACTAGAAAGCTTTCCCTTCCCCTCCGCCTCCCCCCCCCCAGTCGGTTCGCCACTGCTGGATAGAACTCATTAATTCATCCCATTTCTTCACAACACTCATGTCCTGCCCCGCTTATAAATGTCTTCTTCCCTTCTCTGTATTATTTTTTGAATTCACTTATCAATCTGTTGCCGTGACAGCTTGCGCCTTCCCTCCCCCCCTCCCAACTCCCTATCTTATGCTAGTCTCAGCTGTCTAATTCAAGGATTGCTTTAGAAAAAAACAGTAACTTGTTATATCGTTGAGGGAAAGTAGTCTATGGCACCCTCGCCTCGCCCGAAGCGCTTATGTCGAAATTTGGCACATATCAAGCAGATACATAAAGTTGTGATAAAATTTATATTAGGCTCTTAAAAAGTTTTGCCAATTCTTTTCAGGGATATCGGAATGAAAGGCAAATGCATGAGGAGCCGTTCTGGAAAGTGTTCTTGCGGCGTGATGACGCCAGCTATCAAATACGCTATTTGGCTTATAAAACCAGTCGTAAACTGGAGAGTAGTATTCTGAAGAGACAGTAATCCGTTGCGTTAAGAGCTGCGGAAATGTGCATTTTCATAGAGTAGAGACCCGCAGAATTTGCAGAATCTTGGGTCAGAATCCCTGCTTGCCCTTCGTATTTGTCGGATGAAGCGACATCCGACTATTACTTGCTTCGGTACCTATAACTCATTGAGTTCAGCGCTTAAAAATTAAAATCTCCACCGGTTTTGAAACGCAGCCGACGCGATTCTTGAGGAAGATAATTTATGGAAGAGGATTCATTTCATTCAATTACTAGTTCAAGGCTGTCAGTATACATGACCAAAATTAGGTTAAGGACAGCCACTGATGAAGATACAGACAAGGTAAACAAAACAGTTCCACCTTCACTGGCAGAACCTTTTGATCATCTTGATATAAAACACGAACTGGCAAGCCAGGCCTCACCGTGGGTTCGATTGGCTCATCGAAGTGCTAAATTGGTGCACAACTTTGAAAGCTTAGCTTATCTGCTTCTCGACTCTCGTCAGTTTCTGTTGTAACGCAGGATAGTCGATAAATAATATGAGGAGTAGAATTTTGCCATAAAAAAAGCCTGCAGGTGAACGAGCATTGACAACACATGTGTGCAAAGTTTGTCGCTGATCGATTCACACAGACTTTTCAATAAACCTAACTAACATATACCAGCACTCGGCTCTATAATTGTGAAGATTGAAATACCACTAATATCTCCTCCATGACGAAGGCGGTCGCCCAAATAGGTTGAGAGCATGCAAGGCTGACGCGCACGCGGCGCGCGGGCATTTGTCAACCACGGGTCGCGCGCACGCTCGCGTGGATGACCGCTGACCGAGCGTGGGCGCGCCCTGTGGTTGACAACTGCTCGCGCGCCGCAGCATTGCATGCTTTCAACCTATTTGGGCGACCGCCTTCGTCTTGGAGCAGATATTAATATTTTACTTTGCAGACCTTGTGCGGTTACTATTGTTGCAATATCGTTTGCCTTATATATCATGCGTCCATTTTACTCCACATGCGAGCCACCACCTTACAGCACGGAGCTTATAGCAGGACTGATGATAGGTACCACATTCGCTTAGACAGGTTGACGTTTACTTTTTACAGCTTGAGACATCGTGTCCATGCAAAGCAGTTTTAGAACTGCAAAAGTGATAAAAATAGCTATTTGAAAACTCATTAAAGCATGTTGGAGGGTTCGTCGATGATCACTTCAAAGAAAGCGTTTGGCTGGTGCAGACAGAAGCCACTCGTCGTCACTTGTGCTCAACACCGCCGACATCTCACTATTTAAACGCATCAGCCATTCGCTCCTCAAAGGCAGTGTCTCACCAAATTTGCATCACTGGTTTTTTGCGAATTGCAGGCCTCAGCTTTTTGCAAATTGCAAGCCCTCGAGCTTGCGTGACCCCATACGAACTCATTTCAAAATCTCAGCAATCCGTTTTCCGAAGCCCTTGTGGGAGCAGAGCGCACGAGTTCTCTCGCTCTACCTTAGCATTGGCTACAAGGTCGAAACGTCAAGAAGTCTGGTGTCGCCTGAAAAGATAAATTGAAACGAACCAGAAGAACCGAGAAGTCTCCGCGCGCGGCAAAATGCTCCTCGCGCCCCACTTTGAGCCCAATTTTCTCGGCATAGGAGAAGACTTATCAAACGGGACTTGAGCATTGGCATAGTAAAGAGTTCCCTGATAAAATCCCTGAAAATCGGTATACCCAAATCTGATAGACACTGCCTTTGAACTGCGTCCAGAGTAATTTGTCCCTTACCAACAAGAGTGCTGGCAGAATTGCATATCTGGACGCAGCCTTCATGGGGAGCGACAAACACGCCGATTCTCCACCAGGACTAAAAGGGATTCTAATATTTTTGCTTACCACTGTTCGGAATTGAAACATCCAGAATGGTTTGAAACGGAGATCAAACTTGAGGGTTATGGGTCACCACCTCATCAAGAAATGTCTGACTGCTTGCCGTTTGAATGCATTAATTGTTGTTACAGTTATCTTGGGTGCTGTTAATTGTTGGTCAGTAAGGCTAGCGACAACAGTTCAAGACTGGCTCACTTATGCAAAAGTCATTGCACTCGTTTTAGTTATCTTCACCAGCGCAGTACTGATGATATTTGGTTCGTTGAAGGCTCTTTTGAGCATAGCCAGTAGTAAAATAATCTATGAGCATGGATCTATTTCAGGTGGTCCACAGTACAGAGAATCATTTGAGAACATCTTTGAAAGCAATTTTCGAAGTTTTCACCAAGCATCAGTGGGTTTCTATTCAGGTCTATTCGCTTATCAGGGTTGGACCTACTTGAACTTTATTACCGAAGAGCTCATCAACCCAAAAAGGTTTGTTCTCAGATCAGCTTTGTTGCTAGAGTGCAATTTCACAAGTTTTCCTGCACTTACCAGTAGCACAGTAATAATCAGCGTGTCAATGAATCACTTTAGACTAAGTTTTGAGCAGATTTGAGTTTTTGGTCTGCCTACGTATACCTAATGTAACCTCAGCAAATCATGCTTTCTCGTAAAACAACGCATATTCGCACCGAGCGGGCCAAATGATTTTTATGGGTCGAACATCGGCCAAACATGTGATTTTGGCCTGCAGTACATCTACCAAGTCACACAGGGTTGAAAAAGGTTTATCTCCTAATCAGCTCTTTTACTTTCTTGTCCTAGTACAACGAGTGTAATCCGCTTCAAATCAAAAAAAAATTTTTTTTATCCTTGCATCTGTCCCTACACGGGGTCTGCCGCTCTTGTCAGTCTCTTCCATTCTTGTCGATCTACGACTTGTCTTTCATCTAACCCAAGTTCTCTCAAGTCTGCTTTCACTCGATCGGTCCATCTTAGCTTTGGTCTTCCTCGTGGTCTTTTCCCGGGAACCTCCACTGTCATTGCTAACCTTGTGATGTGTTGTTCTTCTCGTCTGCTGACGTGCCCGACCATCGCATTCATCTTTCTTGCAGCTTCTTGACTATCGGAGCTACTTTCATGGTGGATCGTATTGTATCGTTCGTGACGTGGTCGAGCATCGTTACGCCCATCGTCCATCGCAGCATACGTGTTTCCATCACACCAAGCTTCCTCTCGTCGTTACTTGTGCTTGGCCAGCATTCGCCTCCATACAACGCGGTTGGACGGATTACAGTGCGATACATCTGTGACTTCAGCTTCAGTGGCATCCGTTTGTCGCACAGAATTCCTGTAAGGCTCCTCCATTTCATCCAAGCTGCGTTTATTCGGCCGTTTATCTCGTCTTGGAGTGAACCATCTGCTGATATGCAACTTCCCAAGTATTTGAACGACGTGGTCATCTTGATTGCCGTGTCTGCGAGCTTGATCGTTCCTGGCGTTTGAGGTCCCAGCTGTATTCTGTCTTCGTGGTACTGATCTTCAGACCATGTAGTTCGAGTTGCGTTTTCCACGTCTGCACGTCAACCTCCAATTCCTTCCTGCTTCTCGCCATCAGGATCACATCGTCTGCGCACATGACGGACCATGGGAGCGGGCGTATGAAGTCTTACTATCGTGTCCACGACTGTGATGAAGAGTGGTGGCGACAGTACGGAACCTTTATGCACGCCGGCGTTTATCTGGAAGTCGTCTGAGCGTCCCGCTGCCGTTCGTACGTGGCTGGGGCTCCTTTGTATATCATTCTGATCCAGCGAACGTATTCTTCTGGTACCTCGTGCTTCCGTAGTGCCCACCATATTCGGTGATGTGGTACTCTATCGAACGCTTTCTCCAGATCGAGAAATGCCGCATGAAGCTCACACTGCTTTTCCATGCTTCTTTCCATCATTATTCTGATTGTGTGGATGGCATCGTTTGTATTGCATCCCTTTACGAATTGGTGGGGGGGGGGTCAATTGTATGATACTTCCAAGTCGCATTTTCAGTATTCTTTCGAAGATCTTCAACGTATGGCACGTGAGTCGAATTGGTCTGTATGTATGTGGAGCAATCGGCTATGTCGCCTTTGTTCTTCCATATTGGTACTGTCGTGCTTCTGTACCACTCGTCTGGCATATTCCCGGATTCTATTATCTGGTTCAAAAGTCTTGTAAGCCACGAGATTCCAGCTTGTCCACACTTCTTCCAGAAGTCGCTGGGAATGTCGTCTGGACCTGCTGTTTTGCCGTTCTTCATCTTCATTATGGCGCTACGGACTTCAACTTCTGTGATCGCTGGTACTGGTCCATTCACAGGATCGGCTGTTATGGTGGACTTATATTCGGAGTTAGCGGACGCCATCTCTGCGAAGTAAGCTCTCCATCTTTCATTTCTCTCCTGTGGCTTCCTCAGCATTCGTCCGTGTGCATCCTTGATGTTGTAGAATGTTCGATGTCTTTTGTAGCGTTTGCTCTTCTTCTGGCGATCCGAAGACGTCTCTTCGCGAGTGCGTACTTCCTGTACAACTCGGCTACGTATGCTTTTTTTGCCTCTCTGACACTTCTCTTGGCTTCTCGTTTCGCTTCCACGTAGCTTTGATGAGCATCTTCTGATCTTGTCTTCTGCCATGTTCTGTATGCCGACTTCTTGTTCTTGACCACGATCTGCACTTCGTCATTCCACCACCATGTTTCCTTCTCAAGCTTCCGTCTTCCGGGCTTCGTGCGGCCTAGCAGGCCGCCAGCTATTTAATGGATGCTGTCTTTAAGAAGCATCCGGAAGTGGTTAGATCACTTTGCAGTATCGGCAGGGCAGATTCCATTGACGTTCTGGTTTGGGCGTTATCTTCAAACTTTCACCTTTGATGTGTACTTCTTGTTCGGTCATCGCCCTTCTTCTCCTGGGTATTGAGATGCAGTATCAGTGGTTGATCACCTGGGATAACTTTGCTATCTTTTACATACTTGAGCTCGTTGTATCGCACGCTCCAGAAGTCTATCTGCGATTTGTGGTCTCCACTTGCATACGTGACGAAGTGGTTGGTCTTTTTCATGAAGTACGTATTCACCAAGGCTAGGTCGTGGGCTGTAGCGAACTCCAGGATACGTTCTCCTTCGTCGTTACGTATTCCGTAACCGTGATTTCCATGGCACTTCTGTAGACCACTTCGTTGTTCTCCGACATGCACATTAAGATCCGCACCGATCAGTAACATCTCTTCTTCTGGTATTGAACTGACGTAGTCATCAAGCAGCTGCCAGAATTCTTCCTTCTTCGCCTTTTCACATCCCACTTGCGGTGCGTAGGCCGTTACTACTCAAAGCGCTTTTCTCCCGGTATCCAATCTTATGCTCATGAGGCGGTCACTCATTCTATCTGCACTGGTAATCTTATCTCTTAGAGCTTCAGAGACGACTATGCCGACACTGTTCCTATTGTTCGTCGTTCCTTTGTACAGAAGCTTGTAGCCATCTCCGATGTCACGCGCTTTTTCACCTTTCCATTTGGTCTCCCGAATACATGCGATGTCTACTCTACGTCTTATGAGAAGATCGGCTATCGCGATGTCGAGCTGTGAGTGAACCGACGTTGACGGTAACTAGACGTAATGCCGAGAACTTGGATGTTTTCCTTCAAATCAAAAATGAACCACGCGAATGTTTTGTCGCACTTCGCAACACCGTCCCGTTGCGGTTGTTCATTATTTTGCTTGATTCAAGCCATTGAAGCTGAACGGACTGTAACTTGTACCTATACGGTGTGATTTTCATATCTGAAAGCACCCGAATGTAGGAGACAGGGACGGCTGCAAACTCAGTAATGCACCATGCTCGACACCTGCCCGAAAAAATGTTGGGTATCAGTTTCCCTTTAGACAAAGCCAAAAGCACAGATCAAGATATTGGCTTCAAGCGTGGCGCGAGGAGCGAATCGGATTAACGTAGGAACTTCTTACAAACAAATTTGCAGAAACCTACCACTTGCTGTTATGTATTCATGTATAATCTGTACTGCTGTTTATACCCTCTTCAATGTCGCTTTGTATGTCGTAATCTCACCTGAAGAGATGCTTATCAGCCCTGCAGTTGCTGTGGTGAGTTGCAAATCAGCGTAAATCGAAGTCGTTGCAAATCTGAAGTCCGAACTAGCAGTTCGAGGGAGCTCATTGTCAGACTTTACCGCAAAAGACAAAGCTCAGCGTTTGCAGCTCTATGCTGATAAGGTGTACGGCTATTTTTCGTTCATAATGCCGTTATGTGTAGCTGCCTCAACCGTCGGTGCTGCAAATGGTATTATTATGACTAGTTCAAGGTAAGCCACCTTAGCACTTACTACCCCAAGCGCTCTTCTGTAAAAATGTGAAAAACGTCATGCTAGAATCAGAAAGTTGAACTGAGAAGAGAAATCTTGCTTTGCTGTGCTGTTTGCTATGGACAATTTAGTGCCGCATTCAGAACGTTCAGAACGTTTAATTTCTCTCATTGCCAACTCTTGGCTCATTACCATTAAAGAAGCGTACGCATAAACTATGAAATTATTTAGCGAACGCGAACGCGAACGGGTAGAGGACTATATGTCGCCGAAATGGGGCGGCCCCCGCGGTCGTCTGCAACAAATGTGCACCCTTTCGCGTGCACGAAGGTGCCATTCTGCAAGAAGTCTGCGCGGGACCCTCCCACATTCGGGTATATATAGTACCGTACCGTATAGTATACTAGCCGACATCCCCGGCCCAGCCCGGGGAATGGTAAGACCGGCCTATCATAGTTATCGAAGAGTTTCGTAACTCACAATTCGTCCCTTTTTCTTCATCACTGATTCTTGTAACCCCTTCCTTCACTGTCCGTTCTGCGTACGGATACTTACAACGGAGCCTTAATAATGCTATAACTACAACGGTAATTGCAAGCCAAGCCGTCACTTGGCTTGCGTTTATAAGAACGTAAAGATTACTGGATATGAACAGATATCCGATAGACACGAGACACTGTAAGATGATAGGTTGAATGAAGCCATCAATTTCCAAACTTGATTTACCGTAAAGATAACGGCTGGTATTGGCGTGCGTAGCCTTTTGTTTATCATGGTCAGCACTACCGGCATCTGACCTTCGCGAGCTCCAACGTAAAACAATCTGCAATAAGGTCATGAAGACTTTTTAGCCGTCTTCCATCAATCTGATAGTAAAAATCTGAATATTGCCCTATGAAGGCTTTGCAACTCCGTGCATTGGTGGTAACTCATTTAGCAAGAATTCAATTACTTGAATTGGGTGAGACAAATGGCCATATTGATTTTGAAAACCTGGCAGATCGCTGGTTTCTTCGCGGAAAGATTGTATGGTAATTTTTTTTATTATTGTTACAAGACAGTACCATCTTCTATAGAAGATAGTTTTTCACAGTTCCTTAATACTCTTCAAAAAAATAAAGGCTGTCGACAACGATGCTCAAATTCTTAGTCCTCTTGAAGCGACAATACACCCATCATAGATAAAAAAGCAGCAGATCACATTGAAGAAGAGGAAGCCTTGGGGAATGCAGAGATAGACATGCAGTAAGCTGCTTGAAGGCAGCATTTCAGGCAAATCTGGACACGGGGATAACATGTGGAAAATGTTTTTTTGGGGTCCTCACTAACAAGACGCTGTAAGAAGCTGTCTAAACGGCAGCTCACAATCAGATATAAGCTCCTGCAAGACGAAGGCGGTCGGTCCGATGTGCAACGCGGTTGCGACGCGGCTGTGTCACAGCAGCGTCACAGCCGCGTCACAGCCACGTCGCACATTGAACCGACCGCCTTCGTCGTGCAGGAGCCTATAGTGCAATCCCGACAGAGATATTTGTCTCCACCAGACTTCGCTACCATATTTCATGGACGACTTGCATCGGGTTGCTTGAGGACCCACTGCCCCAGGAGAGCTTGGCGCGGTTATCTATATCTATCTATCTATATATATATATATATATATATATATATATATATATATATATATATATATATATATATATATATATATATATATATATATATAAAACTCAAACACTGTACCTTTGTTTGTTAGGATGTTTGTGTCTTATAGGCCTCCTTTGTATGTGAACCAAAGAGGCTGAAATTCTTTCCCTTATAAACAAGCCACGGCGCAGAAGATAGGCTACTTTTCGCGACGATTCACTGTGTCCTTCTGTCGACTTATTGATTTGTTTACTAACACCTAGGAGAATGAAAGCACATCATTCATTTCTCCAAGTAGCAAGGAGCGGTAAAGATCATTTGCATTTTGTGGTGAGGAGGATGAGGTGTCATGAAGCGAGGCAGTCAAGAAGGAAGACAATTAGTGTTAGTGCGGGTACCACGACTGCTGAAATACAAACCAGGAGCAGAAGCAGGAAGGAAGAAGGAAGGGGTTACAAGAATCAGTGATGAAGAAAAAGGGACGAATTGTGAGTTACGAAACTCTTCGATAACTATGATAGGCCGGTCTTACCATTCCCCGGGCTGGGCCGGGGATGTCGGCTAGTATACTATACGGTACGGTACTATATATACCCGAATGTGGGAGGGTCCCGCGCAGACTTCTTGCAGAATGGCACCTTCGTGCACGCGAAAGGGTGCACATTTGTTGCAGACGACCGCGGGGGCCGCCCCATTTCGGCGACATATAGTCCTCTACCCGTTCGCGTTCGCGTTCGCTAAATAATTTCATAGTTTATGCGTACGCTTCTTTAATGGTAATGAGCCAAGAGTTGGCAATGAGAGAAATTAAACGTTCTGAACGTTCTGAATGCGGCACTAAATTGTCCATAGCAAACAGCACAGCAAAGCAAGATTTCTCTTCTCAGTTCAACTTTCTGATTCTAGCATGACGTTTTTCACATTTTTACAGAAGAGCGCTTGGGGTAGTAAGTGCTAAGGTGGCTTACCTTGAACTAGTCATAATAATACCATTTGCAGCACCGACGGTTGAGGCAGCTACACATAACGGCATTATGAACGAAAAATAGCCGTACACCTTATCAGCATAGAGCTGCAAACGCTGAGCTTTGTCTTTTGCGGTAAAGTCTGACAATGAGCTA